GATCACTCTCAAATCTTCATCGTGAGGCTCGGTATGACTTTTCAATATTTGTACTTTAGTCCCCGAACTTTAGATCTCTTACAATTTAGCCCTTTCCTTTCCAACTTTTGTTTATTTTCTTCAATCTCATCAACCTACATCACAACATCAAAACACACATAAAAACACTCTAAAACCCTCTCAAGAATGACAAAATAACGAATTAAGTGACATAAATATCATGAGTGTAGAACACTCATCAAAATGATTTTTCAATAACATTAAAGGAGATTTCTTAATTCGTGTGAAAAACAAAATCAATTTATATAAATGAGACGGAGAGAGTATTTCAATCTAATTAAGTCTCTCAAAATTGCATAACAATAAAAAAAGTACTACGAGATTATTGTATCCAAATATTTTTGGGAAGTGCTACAAGTACATTAGGGGTGCCATAATGGTGTCTATAATGGACACATGGCACCCCACAATTGGAAAGTGTATTGGTGGGCCAACACACACTTCAATGGTGGGGTGCCCTGTGTCCATTATGGACACCATTATGACACCCATAATGTACAAGAAGAATTATTCAATATTTTTTATCCATCTAACGAGCTTCACATCCTATCAATTGAACCACTGCTCAAAGACATAAATAGCCCTTGTGTAAAAGTGAAAAAACACGCGAACAAAATTAGATTGATTATAAAATAGAATTCAAATCATGATTTAATTATTTATGAGAGAATGAAAATTATGATTAAAAGCATGTTCGAAACCCATTTTTTTCCATCAAATTCATTTTGAAATAGTATTTTTATAGAAAATGTGTAATTAAAAAAAATAAGAAAATATTTTGGATTTACGTGTAATATTATTTTATTGAAAAATGTGTGGTTGAAAATAAGAGAGAGAAATGTATTTTAGAAATAAACAATGCCTAAGTTATCCTCAAATTAGATTGACGATTTCCTTTATCTAGGGATCTTGAATCATGCTATGAAATCTAGCCCTAATATTATTCTCTTAACTTTTTAACAAGCTTTGATCTTACAACTTACTCGATATCTTATATAGCCCCTATTTGATGGGAATTATGATCATATTTTTAGCAAATCTTGATAAATGTTAATAAAATGTGTGGTTAAAAAGTTGTGGATTTCATAAAATATGTGGTTGAAATTAATTGTTGATTTTGACTTAAATTAAAATTTTAATTTATACCAAACAGGGCAAAATATAAATATGTAATTATATTGTATGTTTGGTACGTCGGCCAAGTTAAAATCGGATATGACCTAGGGATGGCAAAGGGGCGGGATGGGAAATTCCCAGCCCTGTTACCCATTTAAGGCGGGGTCGGGGCGGGGGTAGGTCATTTCACCGTTTAAATTTTTTTTTTTAGTTTTTGATAATTTATTTTTATTGTCCATATTCATTAGGGCCCTGTTTGGCCCCCATTTTTTGGGGTTGAAAATTTGTGGAATAGTGATTGATGAGNCTGCCCCCCACCCTGCTAAGAAATTCCTCGCTCCATTACCCGTTTAAGGCGAGGCAGGGTGGGGTAGGGCCTTTCCCCGTTTAAATTTTTATTTTATTTTGTTTTTAGTTTTTGATAATTTATTTTTATTGCCCATATTCATTAGATTTAGACAAATAATTTTAGTTGCTATTTTTTATTAGAATTAATAAAATTTTTTATTTAAAATATTGAATTCTAAAAAAAAAAATTAACGGGGCGGGTGGGCCCTGTTACCGGTCCCCGCCCCATTACCCGTTTAAGCGGGTTATACCGCCCTGTTTGGGACGGGACCCCACGTGTATTGGATTTGTCGGGCATTTTTGCCATTCATATGACCCCACTTCATTGTTGGTTTTCGACCTCCCAAACATGTCTTGAAATTGGACCGGGTATAGCCGGTTTCTATGCCAGGCTACAAAATTGACCGCTGTTGAAATGATAATTACTAACTTGCACCTCTTTTGATCCCTCCGCTGGTCGAATCTCTCTCTCCTTTTCTCTCTCATCAGCTAAAGCTATTTGCCTACAGTACTAACCCCACGCTTCAAGATATACTGGCAATATTGTAGAATAAACCACTAAAAAATCTTGCAGAATTCTGTGCCGATTCATACAAGGTTTTCTTTTCACACATATATAGTTTAGGAGGCTGATGTCTTAATTTTTCTGCTTTTTTGAGGTTGTTTTTGTGGTATTATGTTTACTGTTGATTGCTTGTGGAGTTAGGAGATGTGAGATCTGTGCTGAAAAAAGTGAGTAAAGAAATGGCTGAGGTCTCGAATATGGGTTACACGGAGCCTGTGATGGCGGAAAAGGGAATTTCAGGCATCGGAAAAGGTAATTTCGGTGATTATTTCGAATCTTTTGATTTTCTTTTCTGGGTTCTGATTTTTTTTTTTTTTTGTCAGTGGATGCTGAGACAGCGTTATACACAGAGCTATGGAAAGCTTGTGCTGGTCCTTTAGTCACTGTGCCTCAGGAAAATGAGCTCGTTTTCTATTTCCCTCAGGGTCACATAGAACAGGTTTTTCATTTTCTTGAATTTTTGTGATTTTTAGTTGTATTTTTTTGATTTATCTGCTTATATATGATAGCTGTTTTTTTTATTTTAAACTCAGATTCATCAAAGTTAAATCACAGCTCTCAATTTAATTTCGAGTTTGGTTTTTGTACATAAACATGATCATTTAATGTTTAGACTTAATCTCGTTTTCAAGTATTTTAAAGAATAGGATTTATTCATGTGTTACTTACACGGGATGCACTGAAGATATTTTTGAGTAGTTAGTTTATGGGTTTCACATTTTTTTAAAAATTTGTTTTCTTATTTACGAAGTTTTTAAATATAATTTCATGCATAAAATATGTGGATTTTGTCAAATAGGTGGAGGCATCAACTAATCAAAGTGCAGACCAGCAGATGCCTGTGTATAATCTTCCTCCGAAGATCCTTTGCCGAGTGGTTAATGTTTTACTGAAGGTAATTTCATTGTTTAAGATTCAAGTTTTTAAATTTTTAATACCATCTATAAGTTTTTGGGGGATTGTTTGTCGATCCTTTACCGAACTATCATTTATATAATTCTTTTCCTCTTTCGAACTGTCATCTGTTATATGTGTTGATTTGGTTTTGTTTGTATTGTTATCTGAAAGGCTGAACCAGACACAGACGAGGTATTTGCACATGTGATTTTGATGCCAGAACCTAATGTAAGTGCAATCATGGTGAATATGCTATATCTAGTAATTTTTGTAATTTTAAAGGGATTTTTTTTAATTCTTATTTGATGATACTTGTGTTTTGCAGCAAGATGAGAATGCAGTGAAGAAGGAACCTCTGCCGCCAACACCTCCACGTTTTCATGTCCATTCTTTCTGCAAGACTCTAACTGCCTCAGATACAAGCACTCATGGTGGATTCTCGGTTCTGAGGCGGCATGCTGATGAATGTCTACCCCCACTGGTTAGGACTGTTTACTAGAAGTCTATTGTGTCATTCTGCTGTGATTTAGGGTCTTAGTGATGATTCCCTATTTCTTTGACAGGACATGTCACGTCAACCTCCAACTCAGGAATTAGTAGCCAAAGATTTGCATGGAAATGAGTGGAGATTTCGGCATATTTTTCGTGGTATGGTTGCAAACTTTCAATTTCTGCTTCAGTTTGTGCTTTTGATGAGCCTTATGATTTGAATCAACTTGTATTGGGTACAGAAATGGGAAGTGTAAATTTGACAGGATTTTTGGACATTCTCTTTGTGTAGCTGTGTAGTTATTGAGTTGATTCTTGGGCTGTGATACAATGCACTTCTTTTCTTAGGACGTTTAGTGGCGATTTCTCTACAGATTCTGACATGAGCTTTGATTTGTAATTTTTGATTAATCTACTGATTTCCAGGTCAACCACGGAGGCACCTCCTTCAGAGTGGTTGGAGTGGTTTTGTTAGTTCTAAGAGGCTTGTTGCTGGCGATGCCTTCATATTTCTAAGGTGATGTTATATTATATATTCACATCTCTTGTTTTATGCAAATAGTTTCTATTATTGTCTGAAGTGTATATATGGAACTTTCAGAGGTGAGAATGGGGAGCTTCGTGTTGGAGTTAGGCGTGCGATGAGACAAGAAGGAAATGCTCCATCATCTGTCATATCATGTCATAGCATGCATCTTGGTGTGCTGGCAACAGCTATGCACGCCATTCAGACTAAGACAATATTCNGACTTCACTTTTGAGCGGACCCGCCTTTTTCCCGAAAGAGATAGATGGAACTATTCGTGTACTCGCGCTAACGGCTTTCTTTGATCCTTGCTCTGAGCGACTTGCCCGTAAGCTACGTTGGCCTGTTCCTCAAGTGTGAAATCAATCTTTTCAATTTATGCAATTTCCTCTGTAAAAATTAGCACTATTGTTGGGGGATGAAAAAAGTAATAAGGGAAGAGAGCTATTAATTATTAACTTTCTCGATACTTCCATATTCCTTGGGAATATGTGATTTTTTACACTTGCATTCCTGCATACTGTAAACGTGAGTCTGCTGCTGTCAAAGAAGCATGTGATGTACATTTCTGTATTGAAATTGTCAAACTCTGCACTTTTACAAACATGTAAATGTATCAAGACTAGTGAACGCTAATAAATGACGGACAGATTGCATGCGTTTTTGCCCTTGTTATATCCCCCCTAACATCCTACCTCTGTTTTACAGGACGAGCCCATCCGAGTTCATTGTGCCTTGTGATCGGTACATGGAGTCTGTGAAAAACAATTATTCAATAGGAATGAGGTTTAAAATGAGATTTGAAGGTGAAGAAGCTCCAGAGCAGAGGTAGGACGCCTGTTAGCTTCCGAAGCACAATTTGTAACTTTTGTAGTGAATCATGAGATTAGTTGTTTTTATACTCTGATTTATCATGAATCCGTAAAACTTTGTAGGTTTACTGGAACAGTAGTTGGTATTGAAGATGCTGATTCGAGGAGGTGGCCACAATCGAAATGGAGATGTCTAAAGGTACTACATCCTATATTTGACTGGATTAACGTTCACACATTATGCTTTCAATTATTTATTTATTTTTCCCCGTGATGAAAATTCTCTTAATGTTACTTTTAAGGTGCTTTGGGATGAAACGTCCACAATATCTCGACCAGAGAGGGTTTCTCCTTGGGAAATAGAACCTTCTCTTTCTCCTGCTGCCCTTAATCCAATTCCTGTGCCCAGACCAAAACGACCTCGATCAAATGTCTTGCCCGTTTCCTCGGACTCTTCTGTCCTTACAAGGGAAGGTATGTTTCTTATCTCTGTCTGCCTAAGGTGTTGTTTGTGATTTTAGCATTTTAATTCTGACTTTCTTGTGTCTATTTTAAATGTAATATGATGTAGATTTGGCTAAGATGACAGTAGACCCTTCACCAGCCAGTGGGTTTCCAAGGGTCTTGCAAAGTCAAGAATTGTCGACCTTGAAAGGCACTTTTGCAGAGAGCAATGAATCAGATTCTTCTGAAAAGCCAATGTTATGGCCACCTTCATTAGATGATGAAATGATTGAGCATGTTTCCTCTTCAAGAAGATGTGGGTTGGATAAGTGGTTACCTTTAGGAAGGCCAGAGTCGTCATTCACAGATCTTTTATCAGGTTTTGGATCACAAAATAATTTGTCGCATGAGTTCTCTTTGCCTTCGGGTAATACTGCAGTTTCCAAGCGACAGGTACAAGAGCGTGAAGGGAAGTTCCGCTTAATTGGGAATGCGTGGTCTATGATACCTTCTTGTCTCTCTCTTAATTTGATGGATACTGGTACGAAAACTCATGGACAAGGTCCTGATGCTTCCTATCATACACAAGGCGATATTAGACAAATTGGTGGATTGGGAGAATGTTCTATGCTTCCTGATCATAGAGATGGCAATCAACATGTAAATTGGTTGATGCCTCCACCTAATTCACCGTATCTTCAAATGATGCCTGGTCAATCAAGAGAACTGCAGCCAAATTCTGTATTTGCACAACATGACACCACAAAACCCAAGGAAGGTAACTGCAAGCTCTTTGGTGTTCCCCTTATAAGTGGCTCTGTTCCAACGGAGCAAGATCTGTTGCACATGAATGCAGTAATTGAAACAAGTCGCGTATATGGCGGGATGCATTCTCATCAATCCCCCGCGTTAGCTTCTGATCAGAGGTCTGATCAATCGAAGGGCTTAAAGATGGCAGATAATCCAGTTACAAGTGAGGAGGATAAACATTTTCAAACTTTCCATCCAGTTGCTAGAGAGAGGGAAGGCAAAGGTGTTTCTGGTTCAACAAGGAGTTGCACCAAGGTTTTCATCTGGGACTTTTGCTATTTTTTTTTTCTTTTCTTTGATGCATTATTTGTTTGTCCTCAATACAAATGACTCTAATAGTCCAAATTGTTGTCATTTCAGGTTCATAAGCACGGGACTGCCCTTGGTAGGTCTGTCGATCTTGCCAAGTTCAACAACTATGATGAATTGACTGCTGAATTGGATAATATCTTTGAATTTAATGGTGAACTCAAGGCTCCAAATAAGAATTGGCTTGTAGTTTATACTGATGACGAAGATGATATGATGCTTGTTGGAGATGACCCGTGGGAGTAAGATATCCTTTCACTTGTCTTGATTGCCTTAATTCTATTTATAGTGCTTCTTTACGTTGTGTTATTAACTAGTTCCTGTTCCTTTCTAACAGAGAATTCTGTGGCATGGTTCGTAAGATCTTAATCTGTACGAAAGAGGAGGTCCAACGGATGAACCCGGGCACCATCAATTCACGAGAGGAAATTTCATCAGTTGCAGAAGGCTTGGATGCTAAAGAAACGAAGAATTTGCCAGTTGCTTCAGACTCAAGCCCAGAGAATTACTAATAATCCTCGTTTATGTAAGTTATCTTTCTTTCCTGCCACTGCCTTTTTCGCTTCTTCTTTCGGGGTGCCTATTTTCAACTATATACGGAATTCTTGAAATTGAATATATTATTTGAGAAGATTTACACCATGGCTGCTAATTTTGGTTCTTCAATCTTACAGGTATTTTGTCCATCTAGCAGATGAATTTTGGGTACATCCCATAATGAATATGAAGTCCCATTAATCTCCGGAACGTTGAACTTCTTGATTTTGCGATTTTGTTATATTTTTCTGGGGGCCAACATTAGGTGCCTGGTATTTTATTCATATATACGTATGGGTAACGAACATGCATCCTCCTTGTTTGACCTTTTGTACATATGCCCAACTTCTCTGATTTCTCCAGCATTAATGTAAGCATGAAGTTAAATATGTATATGGGTTTGGTACATTTATTTTGAGCCTTTGATTGCAACTGTGATCCATTTTTGGGATTTGAAAATGTTAGGCACCATGGATGACTATACCTTTAGAGGGTAAATCTTTACTAAACCAGTTTGGTTCGGGTTTTTGGTGGGTTAGGGCTATACTTCCAACATTCAACCAGTATTGTATAGGATTGGATGAGATTCGATTAATTCCTTTTTGGTGTTTCTGTTTTTTGGGAAAATTAGGAGGCTGGAGCCTGTTTTTTACCTATTGAGTCATTTTTTGAATTTTCCTGATTTTTATTATTTAATATTAAACATTAAAAAAATCTTCAACAAATCTTATTGAACGCTGGTTTGCTTTGTTCTTTTGAGATTCAAATATAATTGCATATTTGGGTCACCACAGGTCTGAATCGGTGGCAAAATGATTTACAACTCGATATCACTATTGTTTCAAGCTTCATAAGCATATTGTAATTGCAATAATGCTTGGTTCGGTGTAGAGTATGGATGACAACTTTGTTTATAAAATGTCTTGAGTCATTAGCCAACTATTTTTTGTCAACACATATTGTTATCTACATTGTCATTCATAATTGTACAAATAGCAAAATCCTTGTAAGTGCAGTTTGTTGGGATTGCAAGTCTAGTCATCGAGAAACCAACATAATTTCATTGGTCGTCGCATTTATCTCCAAAAAACTTGGAACGCACGAACTTCTTCTGTCCAGCACTCCTCATCAACAACAGGGGAAAAGGTCGAAATCCATATGAAATACACATTTAATTCAATATATCATTGAAAGGAGACGATCAGAATTTCTGACATAACATTGGCGAGAAAATAACAATACGGTACATACCAGTACGACATTCCGTCAAAACAACCGAAATAAATTATTTATGGCCACATGCATTTTGCCGAAGTACTGTCTGGCTTGGCGGATTAGCTTTTCCTTACCTCTTTTGGAGTGAACTTGAAAAGCAAGGATTGTCAAGCTCGTTCGAGGTAGGGAGGACCGTCAATTTTTTATGTGAACCAAAATATAGAAGAAAGATCCTTTGTGCTTAATTCATTTCAGAATAAATAGCAGAAACTTCAACTAATTTCCACAAGAACTCAACGTTCACAATTTTATTTTAACTATCCAACAAACTGAAGTTGAAGTCTGTCCCTTGAAGATGAAATATCTCTTGGCAAAATAAACTGGTGAACAGTGAATCTCTATCACAAATAGTAGAACGAGGCATGCCATGCAACTTGAAAATATTATCAAAGAATATTCTAGCAACTTCAATAGCCGTATAAGGGTGAGAGCGAGCAATAAAATGGGAATATTTAGATAAGCTGTTAGCATTAGAGTGGCGTGGGGGGGTGTCTTCCCAACTTACTCCGAAATTGGAAGAGGTTGAAGAAGTCCTGCTAGTGCCATATGTTTTACTTTATTTCTTTGGCAGGTGTCACAATTTTTTACGTAGTCTTCAATTCCTTACCTCATACCAACCCAATAAAAATTCGAACGAACTCGTTGTAAGGTCTTGACAAATCCTTCATGAGTTCTGCCATGAAACTGATCAAGTAGTTTTGGAGTCAAAGGTGAATCAGTAGCCAAGTATATTCGATCCTTGAAGATTAAGATGTCATCTTAAAATCTCCAAGGTGTTATGGCTTATCCAATTTGACGACACTGCATTTGTATTGGATCGAATTTTCTACTTGACGACGTCTAGCCAATCTTGTATCACTTGCGAGATTGCATAAAGTTCCTTAGGTCCTCCTCGTATTTATTGGAAAGAACATCTGCAGTCACATTTTCTGTCCCACTTTTATATTCCACCTTGAAATCGAATCCCATCAGCTTGTACAACCACCTTTGTAGAGCTATGGTTATGATCTTTTGAGTCCACAATGATGATCAGTTCTCACAATGAATCTCTTTTCCAGCAAGGAGTATCTCCACTTCTGTACTGATAATACTAAAGCCAAATTTTCTTTCTCATAAGTAGATAACAAGAGGTGTTTACCTTGTAGGGCATGGCTAAAGAAGGTTACAGGTCGATCTTGCATAAGGACTGCTCCAGCTCTCGATCTGATGCCTCACAATCCAAAGTAATTTTTTTTTTTTTTGGAAAATCTAGTAAAGCCAAAACTGGTGCACTGGTCATGGCTTAAGTTCGGAAAATGACTCAACAAATACTTCATTCCACTTGATAGAGTCTTTCTTGAGCATTCAGGTGAGAAGACTAGCAAATTGATAATTGTATTCTACACACTTATTTAGAACTTTAAATATAGACATTTATGAGTTCTTATGATTAATTATGGTGTAATATCGTATATTTATTATTTGCTAGGTGAAACTCAATGATTGAACATGAAATTCAAAGAAAGGAACGAAAATCGACGAAAAGGATGATTTCCAAAGTTTGAGGGCCAAATTAAAAATATTTAATAGTTGATTCAGACCATAAAATAATAATTCAAGTTCATACACGATCAATTGGATGAGATTAGAAGTCAAATGATGAAAATTGCCTGTGAAAGGGACTCAGAATAAAGGAATGAAAAAAGTTAGAGATCAAAATGAACAAATAGAGAAGAATTTTATTCCACGAGTGAGCGTGGAGTAAATTCCTTACATGAATTTTCCAAACCAGAGAGAAAACTCCTAAAGCCATGCGTGGGCAAGACATAGGTTATGTGTGAGTATGGGGTAAAATTTTGCCAAACAGGAACTTTCCTTCTCCGATTGACACTCCTTTTGGAAACCAACTTTATACGATTTCTTAATCTAAATTCGCCAAATATAAGAGTAGAACAAGGGCTAAACATTCAATGATCTCTCTCTAGCTTCTCATATCACATCACATCATTATATCAATCAAGAACAAAAGCCCAATTATCATCTTTTTGGGAGTGGAGATCAAACATAACAAGAATTGAAGGCCAATTACACCAAGATTTTGAAGAATAAAGGACAAGAAATAACTTCCGCTTACTTCTTGTCTTCATGTTCATTTTGAGTGATGATTTTCTATTATTCTTCTTGTAATATTATAGAAATCAAGCTAGACTAAACCTTTTATTGTATTGGATGAAGATAAAACCTATATTTTCTTATTTTTAATATAAAGACTACTAGTTTAGTATATTTATGAGTTCTTTTGATTAATCTTACATGTTTTATTGCATTACTTGATTGATTGGCTACCAATTAGATAATTAATTACTTGTTATAGTTGTTGGAGGTTCGTAATAAGTTAGAACTTCGCAAATTCAAAACACGGACAATAGATGTTAGAAATAAAATGTATAGCGTGTACTATAATATTGATAATTGTGTGCATGAATGCATTACTTTGTATGTGAATTTTGAATAAGAATACGACAGAAACTTGCTTAGAATATGTTTAACTTACTTTAGTTAGATATAATTGGATTTTCAATTGTTAAGAATACATAAATATCACTAATCACATAGGTTGAGAATAGGAAATAGGATAAAGATAGGTGGGAATATAAATCTAATATATTCATCTATACATTCATATAAAACAACGCATTTACATAATAGTAAAATAATTTAGAATAATAACATTTAATCTCTTTTGTTTTACAACATGCTTATTTGATTACAAATTAATACAATTCAATTTAAAACTTATTTTCTATGGAACGATACTCTTAGCATCATATTATTGCTTGTCAATGATCCTATACACTTATGGGTTTTGCACGAACAACATTCTTTCCATAATTTTGTATAAATTTATGATAGTACCTGATCAATCCAAAAAACCCCCCCAAAAAAAAAAAAAAA